CACTGTCAGTACAATTTTCTTTCTTATTTCGATGCCGGCTTGTCGGGCTCCCTCTCTGCCGGAATACACAGGAAGCTTTCAATCGCCGCTTTTCTCATCTGTAAGGCTCTCCCGCCCGATTTCGCCGACCCCTTTCCTGATGTCCTCTCTCCTCAATGCAGGAAAGGTGTGTATCGATCCACACTGCAGCATCCGATCTCCCTTGCTTCCATCTGGTTGCTGGTTACCACAGCTTCGCGTCAGCCATTAGTTTGGCCGACTCACGCGTGCTGGGTTAGACAGAGCCGCCCGGTCTTGCGATCAGCGTTTTGCGCCCGCTTTCACGCTCACCCGGCTCGCTCTCTCGTCCGTGGGGCTCTCCGGGCTCCACGCCCCTCAGGGGGTCCCCAAAACACGGTGACTGATGGAATTGAGGAGCAGCAGTTACTCACTCAACGCCATATCGCCGCGGGTCACCAACCGGAAGACAACTGTATTACATAATTACATAATTAACCAATGTAAGGATGGATATAAAAATAGATGACAATGGGAAGGGGTATAATACAGAATAGAAGGGAAAAATTGAATTTGATTAAGATTAGAGATGAGGATGAAGGATAATATTGGTTTTTTTAAAAAAAATAGATGAGGAATAAATATGGTAAAAAGGAAATATAGAAATTGTAAATTTAATTGAAATGACTAAACACTGTGTTGGAAGAAATATCCTTCTGGGTTCTGCTCCAAGTGAGGAAAAAGACACTGGAAACATGGAGACTGCTTGGAAAGATGGTTTAATGGTGGACAGGATCACATGGCTTGAGTTCCTGAACAGAAAAGGGGCAGATACAGTAAATCCTCGGATTTTTATGCTCTCTCTGGCTTTGCATTTCTTGGGGCCCCGAAAGAGTATCCTGATTGGTTGTCAGACTCCCAGGGAGTGGGGGTCTTAGCTAGCCTTGCTGGCTGATGGTCACATGCTTCCCAGGTCACATGCTTCCTAGGTCACGTGTGGTGAGTTTCGGTTGCTAGATGGGACCCATTGTGTTAGTTTCTGTCGCTATTGTGTTGCAAATGTCCTTTGACAAAGGATTGACTTTCTGCCTCTGGCCATTAACAAAGGGTGGGGGGCAGGAAGGTGGGAGCTGCTTTGTCTGTAAAATATGCTTCTCCATTTCTCATCCAGGGAAATATAATATTCTGCCTTTTTAATATTTCCCAAAATATTTCATTCTTCTAGGAAAGGGGTGGGTGCTAACCTCCTACAACTGTTTAAATTTGTGAACCGGCCAAATACTCTGTTCAAAGAAAATACGTTGTACGTTTGTATGTGTGTTTCTAATTATTGCTATTTATTCATATTTGTTCTCTTTTATTCTTTAAAGTTTAACAATTCATTCTTTATCTTAATATCTTTATATTTGTTTGGGGTTGGCTTTCTTCCCTTTCATCTTTTTTATTGTACAGCAATCTTTCTCCTCAAACCTACCACCTCTGTCTTTTCTTTCCTTTTTAATTTCTCTTCCCCCCCCTCTTCTTCTTCTCCCTACTTCCTCTTCCTTTCTCCTTCTCCTCCTCTCTTCCTCTCTTCCTCTCACTCCTACTCTAATTTCCCTTCCCTTCCTTCATCCCTCTCTATTGCTGTATCCTTTTATGCATATGGACTACTCAGAGGGCTGAAAAAGTTATTTTTGACTGGTCCTCGCACTTTTGACCAGTCCTCAAACTTACGACTGTCCTCACAATTTACGTTTTTGCCCTATCTTGTCACCATGGTGAAGAGAAGCAGTTGTGAAATGAGTGACACGGTTGTTAAGAATGCTGCACAGGCATAAATGTGAGGATGGTCATAAGTGTGAGGACCAGTCAAAAGTCCGAGGACCTGTCAGAAATGACTTTTTTCAGCCCTCTGAGTAGTCCCTATACACATAGCCATGGCCACCCGGTCACATGACCAGCTAGCCATGCCCACCCAGCCACATGACCTCCAAGCCACGCCCACAAAATAAGCCACGCCCACAGAACTGGTAGTAAAAAAATTTAGAACCCACCCCTGGTTGGGGGTCACTACAACATGAGGAACTGTATTAAAGGGTCGCGGCATTAGGAAAGTTGAGAACCACTGGCTTAAACCATCATCTCCAACTTATTTTAGATGACTCCATAAAAGAAATAAAGCAAGTTCTTTCAAATGGACTGCAAACAAGAACTACAGACATCATAAAGGCTGAAAAATTGGTGATAAGATCAATTACAGCATTTTAAATGCTTAGAAAGGAAAAGGGTGCATACAAACAAAAAGTTGATGGATGGATTGATTACTTCAGAAACCTTCAAAGATATAAAATTTGTTGAAAATCATCGATTTGTTAGCCTTCCTCAGGAAAGACTTTTAGAAAGCATCATAACAAATTTGAAGAAAAGACTAATGGATTGTGAACATTTAAAAACAGGTAGCCAATCTCAAGACACAAATAAATTACAATTTCTAAATTTTTTGGAGCCAGATTACTGAAGAAAGTAATAGCAGCTGAAAAAGAATTGGATGCATTTAGTGACATTTTTAATTACAAAATTAATATCAATGATTATAGGGATTTTATAGAAAATTTTGAAAGATTTTTCAAAAATTTTGAAATATTTTTGAAAGATTCGGAGAAATATGCAATTCCTGACAATACTAAAAAAGCAAAAGCTATTGTCAGAACAATTGCTGTAAGTTCAGCAGAAGCGGAAAGGGGTTTTCACAAATGAACATCATATGTTCAGAGAGCAGAAGTCGCCTAAGTGTTTCTAATATAACCAACTTAATGACCATTAATTTAATTGGCCTACCCTAGAGGAATGGGATCCTATTCCTGTAGTTAAGGAATGGCTGAGAGCAAATCACAGTGCTGATGATCCTCATGTGAAAGTGAAAAAAGGGGCAATTGAGGAAGCCAATAAAACTGCGATTTGGCAATACCTTAGATAAGTTTTATTGTTTTTTGTTAAGTATTTAATAGTTTTTCATTAATATTTTAAAACTCTTGTAACAATCTAGTTTTGTGTACCTTTTTTATAATAAACTAATATTATAATATTTTGGTATATGATATCTTTTTTTATACTTAAAACTCTCATTAGGGCAAAGAAGTGATGTCGGTCGAGTTGGCCACACCCAACCAGTCACATGGTCACCTAGCCATGCCCACCTGGTCACATGGCCACCTAGCCACGCCCACCCAGTCACATGACCACCTAGCCACACCCACTCAATCATATGACCACCTAGCTATGCCCACCCAGCCACATGACCACCTAGCCACGCCCACCTAGCCACACCCCAAGCCACTCCACAGAACCGGTTGTTAAAAAAATTGAATTCCACCACTGGGCACATACATACTTGGACACACATTTCTCCTGAGCTGAATTCAAGACCAGGAGACATCATCATGTCCTATTTCTTAGGAAAAGTACAGAAATGGTTTCCTCTTCTATTTATTTTAATAATCACTCTCTCTATACAATCACTTTTGAATGGAAGAAGTTCTTTTAATCTTTAATTAAACAAGTTAATTAATCTTTAAAAAAGTGTTGGGTATTAATTATTATAAGTTCTGTTGATATGTTCAAATAATGGTCTCTCTTCAATTAAGTTTTTGAGATACCCAAGAGGTCAAGATGAAGAGCAACACAACACAAACAATTTATTAGAAATGATGAAAGGGGCTAGAACAATTTCATCAGAATCATGATCTCATACAATTTCCTTTGAACAGAAATTTTGAGGAGAAGGAAAAGCCAAGAAACTTCTGTATTCCCAATGATCATATGCAGAATCCCTTAGCGGTGTGAAGACGCTCATAAATTATAAATAAATTACAAAACATCTTCAGAAAGTATATACCTTTTCCATGAGAATTCATATAGCCCTTCTGTTAATGAACTGCTGAGCATCTCTAAATAGAATTCTTTAATTTCTTCATTAAGAAATCTTCTGTGGCAATTTGTGTAGGATCTTCTAATAAATCCTGAAGGGGCCGCCGTTAACGTAACTCAGTATGCAACATCTTCCATGAGAGATCCACAGCCTCCTGAATAGTGCACAATATCTGGCTTCCATAGAAAGCAAATGGATTATCTTCCACCTTATTGGACACTTGCTGCAGTAAAAGCTGGTAATATTCTTGGCTCTTGATAGATGAGGAACATTTTCAGGTGAAGAACATCTTCAGAAAGAAGAAAGAGAAAGTTGTCTTTTGCCTTTTGAGAAACAAAGATAATTTGGATCTCTGCAGATCTCTGGTCATCTCTAGTCCAAGTACTAACCATACCCAACTTTGCTTTTGCCTTCAAGTCTAAAGAAGATTATCCAGATCCTGAATCTGCTGAGATCATCTGTGTTCTCCCAAGAAACTATTCTGTATTAGTATACCAGATTAAGTTTAATATGGGTATATTCTAACTTTCTTATTCAAATTCAAAGCAGACATTGTTAAGCAATTTGAATATTTTTTTACTATATTTACTTTTAGAAGGTTTCTTCACTGAACATCTCTGAATGGAAATTTCTGTACATTCTCACAACCAAAGTCGTTTGAGATAAACCTGGTTTCCCAGGGAAAATAATCTGTGCTACTAGACCAAATAAATGTTAATATTAATAAATGTTAATAAGAGCCTTGGTAGTACAGGGGTTTAAGGCACCCTGTTATTAAGCTGGTATTAAGACCAGCTGCCTGCAATTACTGCAGGGTTCGAATCTCGCCAAGGCTCAAGGTTGACTCAGCCTTCCATCCTTTCTAAGGTAGGTAAATTGAGGACCCAGTTGTGGGGGCAATAAGCTGACTTTGTATAAATATACAAAAGGATGAAGGCTATTGCTGAGCACATTGTAAGCCGCTCTGAGTCTTTGGAGAAGGGCGGCATATAAATCAAATTAAAAAAAAAATGAGCATGTTCAAATTGTTTCCTAATGTGAATAATTTTTTGGAGATGCAGCATATTTATGTTGTTTTATTTCTTTTGGAAAAAGTGGTTCCAGTGATAGGTTGCTCCCGGTTCTGCCCACCTGCCCGGATATCATAATTGATGATCTGTGGGCTCCCATTGCGAACCATCGTAAAGGTAAGTAGAACCCACCCCTGAGTGGTTCCCAACCTTTTTTTGGTCGTGCCCCATCTAAGCATCTCTAAAATTCTGATGCCCCCCCCCCGTGACATATAATTCTTACTATTCAAAAAATGAACTCCTACTCACACGGAGGAAGCCTAAAAGGCCATTAACTTGGTTTAAACATGGTTCCAATTGCTCCTATTAAAAATAAAATATCACCTCTGTGGGGCGTGGGCCCCACATTGGGAACCACTGCTCTAGAGAAACTTTTCTTTAAAGACATATTTCTTCTTACTTGTTACTGAAAATATTTGAGATTATTATTCAAGCTATCTTGAACTAGAACCCTTGAGGAAACTCCCAACTATAGTTCTTAATTTTGATCCCCACCTATGAGTAGCAAACCAATAATAGAATTGTATATTTTCCAGCATGGGAAAATGTTTGCAGTTTCTGAAGCTGGGACAATTTTGGGACAATTACCTAGTTCTAACAAACAATTTGATTTTTTTAGTTTGCATTGCTACAGAAGAAATAACTGAATAAATTATTAGTAGTGAAGCTTGCAAAGGTTCATTTAGTGTAATTTAAGTCAATTGTCAAAAATAGATAATTAACCAAAGCTATTTCAATTGTTTATTTATTTATTAATTTATTTATTGGTTCGATTTATATGCCGCCCTTCTCCGGAGACTCAGGGCAGCTTACAATGCATTAAGCAATAGCCATCATACTTTTGTACATATCTGCTTAGTAGGGCTTTGGCCCCCTCTAAGTGGTGTTCTTTTTATACAAAGTCAGCTTATTGTCCCCACAATCCAGGTCCTCATTTTACCTACCTTTTTAATTTAATTTTTTTTATTATTAAAATATAAACACAGATATAAAGACAATACAATACAAAGACAAACAAAAAACCTACCACCTACAAACCCACCTAACATTTTACATTTACGCTTTTGTCACCTTTGAAAGGATGGAAGGCTGAGTCAACCTTGAGCCTGGTGAGATTTGAACTCGCAGTAATTGCAGGCAGCTGGCAGCTAAGTGCTACTTAACAGCACTTTAGTCCACTGCACCACCAAGGCTCTCAATTGTTGCTGTTTTATCCCCTTTATTTCTTTGCCAAGATTGTATTAACTGAAAAAAACGGTTACCGTAAGGTTAAATATTTAGTATCATAATGAATGCAAAAGTACAGTCTATCAACTGAGAATTAAACACACGCATTCACACACACACACACACACACACACACACACACACACACACACACTAGCTACAGATTGAAAAATAACACCCAAGATTTTACCTTATATAGATTTTTTAGATTTTTTTCCTCTTTATAGTAATTTGGATGTTCCCTGCATCAAAGTCCACTTATCTTCCAATGTTGATAAGTACTTTTTCTTGGAATAATTTCATTCCTGTGATATGAGAAATGGCTGCTGGTTGTCATCTCCCTGCCCCCCCTCCCCCGTATTTACCTATTTAAAAATGGGAGTTGATCTAATTCTTTTCTAAATCTCTCATCCTTTTTCCTTCTCCTCAGAGAGGAGACCATGATACAAGCTGAGAACTTCACCTCTGTCAAGGAATTCATCCTGCTGGGACTCAGTAGCCACAGAAACATGCAACTTCTCCTCTTTGGAGTCATTCTCATCATCTACTTGCTTACAGTATTGGGGAACACATTGATCATCGTGTTGGTGCAGGTTGATTTAAGACTCAATACACCCATGTATTATTTTCTTTCTCATCTTGCAGGGGTAGATATCTGTTATGTTACCAGCACCATGCCTCTCATGTTGACTCAGCTCCTGACTGGAGATGGAACCATTTCTTTCACCCTCTGTATAATCCAGATGTACCTTTCATTGTCTTTAGGTGCTATTGAGCTTCTCCTGTTGGGGGTCATGGCTTATGACCGCTACCTGGCCATCTGCCGTCCTTTAGTTTATCCTGTTGTGATGAGCAAGCTCTACCAGTTGCACTTCACTTCTGCATGCTGGATAACAGGTCCTCTGGCCTGTGTGATTTGTGTTGTCTGTACTGCTTTTCAAAACTATTGTGGCCCCAATCAAATCAACCATTTCACATGTGAGTTGCCAGTGGTGCTGAAACTCGCATGTGGTGATGCCAGAATCGCTGAGGCCATTTATTTTTCTATAGGAGCATTTTTCTTTTTGGTTCCCCTTTCTATTGTATTGACCTCTTATGGATTTATTCTTCGGACTGTATTACAAATGAAATCAAACACCGGGCGACACAAGGCTTTCTCTACCTGTGGCTCCCATTTCCTCGTGGTCTCCTTATTTTATGGCCCTTTATTCTGCATGTACCTCCTTCCGAAGACTGATTCAGCTTCAGATCAGGATAAACAAATGGCCATCTTCTACATTGTGATCACTCCTCTGCTCAACTCTATCATTTACACTCTGAGAAATAAGGACATCCATAACGCAGTAGCCAAGATCTTGTAAAGAAGGGACTTTGAACAAGACCCTTAACTCATGGTTAATCTTCTGTCTTTAAAAAGAAAGAAGTGGTGGTGCAACTGAAACAATCTGGAATTGAACACACTCAAAACCATAGAAATGGTGGTAGACTTTAGACTTTCTATACTTCCACCTCTTACAATACTAGACAACACAGGATCAACAATAGAGACCTTCAAATTTCTAGGTTCTATCATATCTCAAGACCTAAAATGGACACCTAACATAAAAAATGTCATCAAAAAAGCACAACAAAGAATGTTCTTTCTGCGCCAACTCAGGAAGCTCAAACTGCCCAAGGAGCTGCTGATTCAGTTCTACAGAGGAATTATTGAGTCTGTCATCTGCACCTCTATAACTGCCTGGTTTGGTTCTGGAACCCAACAAGACAGACATGGACTTCAGAGGATAATTAGAACTGCAGAAAAAACAATTACTAGCAACCTGCCTTCCATTGAGGACCTGTATAGTACACGAATCAAAAAGAGGGCTGTGAAAATATTTACAGACCCCCTCGCACGCTGGACATAAATTGTTTCAACTCCTACCCTCAAAATGATGCTATAGAGCACTGCACACCAGAACAACTAGACACAAGAACAGTTTTTTCCCGAATGCTAAACTCTACTAAACAAATAATTCCCTCAACACCCTCAAACTATTCATTAAATCTGCATTACTATTAATCTTCTCATTGTTCCTATCACCCATCTCCTCCCACTGTACGACTGTAACTTATTGCTGTATCCTTACAATTTATATTGATTGTTTCCTAGTGTGATTTGACTGCTTATTTGTACCCTATGACTATCATTAAGTGTTGTACCTTATGATTCGTAACGAATGTATCTTTTCTTTTTATGTACACTGAGAGCATATGTACCAAAGACAAATTCCTTGTGTGTCCAATCACACTTGGCCAATAAAGAAATCTAATCTAATCTAATCTAATCTAATCTAATCTAATCTAATCTAATCTAATCTAATCTAATCTAATCTAATGCCCTGATGGTCTAATTGTGGCTGATTAGGAGTATTACTTGACAATGCTTTGAAAGTCTGTATTTTTCTGACTTTGGAACTAAATCATGAATTCTGTGGATATATTTTGCCTAGTCTATATGCAGTAATTATATTGAGATGTTGAAACCTCAAAGCCTAGTTCTCTTGGAATCTGAAGAATATGCACCATTCGTGGTATCGAAATTTTGTAGAAATTTGTCTCAATGTACTGGACAGAGCATAGTGTATAGAATGTATTCTGAATCTAGCAAATATTTGGAAAGATTTATTGGTTTAAATTTTGAGATCTTTTTCTTTAATCATATGTCTTTAAATTCAGGATCATATGGAATTAAATGGGGAAAAAAATCTACCCTTATTGAAAATCATTTGTAAAGCATCACATTGTAATAACACTGATAAGCAACAAACAACCCAATAAAAGAAGTACAAGAAAATCCCTATGTCCAGTCATGGAATAAACCAAAAGTGTCAAACTTGATTTCATTGAGGGCCGCATCAGGGTTGCGTTTGACCTCGGGGGGCTGGATGGGCATGGCCATGGTGGGCATGGCCATGATGGGTGTGGCTGTGGTTGGTGTGGCCACCTCACTGTCACTTGTGTCAGGGGAACCTGTAGTGGCCCGGATGGGGCCGTGGGGAATCCATTGCCTCCAGCGGAGGAAGGCAAGACCAGGGAGAGCGCCAAACTCTTGTCTTCCAGAGGAGCTCCCTGTCCCTCTCAGGCCATGCACAGGACTCTTGGATAGCGGTACAGGCTGTTCAGAGACCTAGGCAGTGGAGGGCAAGTGCCCAGTCTAGCCCTTGAGTTCCCAGGGCGCTGGGACCCCATAGCTCAGCCCGTTTCCCTGAGGGGGTGCCTCCTTGAGGCTGCTGCTGCTGTTCAAGCTCTCCATTTTCACTGGCAGAGGCACCACGGGCTGATCCTTTGCTGTTTCCAGGGTGACCCCGCAGGCCAGATCTAAGCACCCCATGGGCCAAATCCGGTGTGTGGTCCTTGAGTTTGACATCCCTGGAATAAACCATGTATTCTTCTCTTAATCTTGATCTCATCTGAAGAAGGAGAGCAGCTTTTGATGACTTTGAGGCAGTGATGGGTTTCAATTTTTTTTACTACCAGTTCTGTGGGTGTGGCTTGGTGGGCATGGCGGGGAAAGGATACTGTAAAATCTCCATCCCCACCCCTCTCCAGGGGAAGGTTACTGCAAAATCCTCATTTCCTCCCGATTAACTTGGGAGGCAGAGAATAGATGGGGCCGGGGCCAGTCATAGGTGGTATTTACTGGTTCTCTGAACTACTCAAAATTTCAGCTACCGATTCTCCAGAACTGGTCAGAACCTACTGAAACCCACCTCTGCCTTGAGGGCACATTATATTATTCAGAATGGGAAAAAACTAGTCTAATTTCCAATAAATTGCCTCTTGTTATTTTTGTTCCTTTTCTTCAGCTAGGAGGCCAGGTTGCGAGTTGAGAATATCTGTCAGGGTTCTGAACAATGCCCTAATAAAAGCAGGAGCCTCAAGCAAAGCTTCAAGAAAAATCCAGATGTTTATTAGGAGAGTCATGTTGGCAAGGACTAAGTGAAGCTAGCTCTGACCTCACTCAATTCGCGCCTTGCCTCTGACCCTGTTTCCCCCTCCCCCCAAGGTGTGTCGTCAGTCATATTCCCCAATGAAGCAATTTCACAGGTCATAGAAGTCACTCCCTCTGGTCATTGCTGGTTTCTGTGGAGATGACCTTGACTTTGGCTGGCTAGGAAGTGTTTTCTTTTGACTGAGGTGCATATTCCTTGATGCAGCTACGAGGCTTGATTCCCCATCCCCCTGCATACGGCAACTCAGGAGCAGGCCAGGAAAGCTTCGCGAGTTGACAATATCACTGTTAAGGAATTCATCTTGCTGGGATTCATCGGCTTCTGAAAAATCCAACTTTTTTTCTTTTTCATCTACTTATACTTTTGGGGAACTTACTGATCATAAAATTGGAGCAGGTTGACACACAATTTCACAGTTCTGCAGTGTAGCAGATTTAAGGGCCTGACTGAAGAAAAGTGGTTGGATTTGTTTATTTTTATTTTATTTTATTTTTCAATTTATATACTGCCCTTCTCCCTGAGGACTCAGGGTGGTGCACAGCCAGAATTAAAAACATGAAATACAAATATTAAAAACAATTAAAATCTATATAAATTTGGCCCAAAATTTAAAAAACCACAAACCAATTAAACATTTAAAAATTAAAAAAAAAATTCTTCCTAAGCCAGCCCGGCTTGCTGGAAAAAGTGGGTTTTAAGGGCACGGTGGAAGGCACTGAGGTCTTGGATTCTCCTTATCTCTGGGGGCAGCTGATTCCAGAGGGGAGGTGCCCCCACAGAGAAGGCTCTCCCCCTGGGGGTCACCAGCCTACATTGTTTGGCTGATGGCACCCTGAGGAGGCCCTCTCTGTGGGAGCGCACAGGTCGCTGGGAGGTCGTCGGTAGCAGCAGGCGGTCTTGAAGATAGCTAGGCCCTATGCCATGGAGCGCTTTAAAGGTGATAACCAACACCTTGAAGTGCACCCGGAAGACCACCGGGAGCCAGTGCAGCTCACGCAGGAGCGGTGTTACATGGGAGCGCCATGCTGCTCCCATCACTACCCACGCTGCTGCGTTCTGGACCAGCTGGAGCCTCCGGGTGCCCCTCAAAGGGAGTCCCATGTAGAGAGCATTGCAGTAGTCAAGGCGAGAGGTGACGAGGGCGTGAGTGACTGTGCACAGGGAATCCCGATCAAGAAAGGGCTGCAACTGGCGAATCAGGCGAACCTGATAAAAGGTCCCCCTGGTTACAGCCGTCAGATGTTCCTCCAAGGACAGCTGCATATCCAGGAGGACTCCCAGATTGTGAGCCCTTTCTATGGGGGCCAAGGACTCGCCCCCAATAGTCAGTGATGGAGTCAACTGACTATATCGGGATGCCGGGAGCCACAGCCACTCAGTCTTGGAAGGGTTGAGCTTGAGCCTGTTCCTCCCCATCCAGATCCGCACAGCCTCCAGGCACTGAGACATCACTTCAAGGGCATCGTTGGGGTGGCCTGGGGTGGAGATGTACAGCTGGGTGTCATCAGCGTACTGATGGTATCTCACCCCGAAGCCACGGATGATCTCGCCCAGCGGCTTCACATAAATGTTGAACAGAAGGGGCGAGAGGACCGATCCCTGTGGCACTCCACAGACGAGAGGCCTCGAGGTCGACCTCTGCCCCCCTGCCAACACAAACTGCGACCGGTCGGAGAGAAAGGAGGAGAACCACCACAATACGGTGCCTCCCACCCCCAACTCTTCCAGCCAGTGCAGCATGATACCATGGTCGATGGTATCAAAAGCCACTGAGAAGTCTAACAGGACCAGAACAGAGGAGCAACCCCTGTCCCGAGCCCTCCAGAGATCATCAACCAACGCGACCAATGCCGTTTCCATACTGTGCCCAGACCTGAAACCCGACTGGAACGGATCTAGATAAGATGTTTCCTCCAGGAATTGTGGAAACTGTCGCGCAACCACACTCTCAACAACCTTCGCCATGAAGCGAAGGTTGGAGACAGGACGATAGTTGGCAAATATTGCCGGATCCAGGGATGGCTTCTTGAGGAGAGGCCTCACCGCCGCCTCTTTCAAGGCAGCAGGGAAGTAACCCTCACTAAATGAAGCATTGATAACACCCTGGAGCCAGCCTCGTGTAACCTCCCGGGGAGCCAGTACCAACCAGGAGGGACACGGGTCCAGTAAACATGTGGCCATACTAAGTCTCCCCAAAATCCTGTTCACATCATCGGGAGTCACAGCATCAAACTCCTCCCAGATAACATTCTCAAGACTATTCCTCATCACCCTGCCCTGATCTACCCAGTCAGAGTCCAAATCCCCCCGGATCTGAGCGATTTTGTCATACAGGTATTGTCCGAAATCCTCCGCCCTGCCTTCCAGGGGATCCTCCCGCACTCCCGGATGGAGCAGGGAGCGGGTCACCCTAAACAGGGCAGCTGGATGATTCCCTGATGATGCAATAGAGGCGGAAAAGTAATTAAACTTTGCCGTCTTTATCGCCACTAGGTAGGTCTTAATATGCGACCTTACCAGTGTTCGATCAGATTCAGCAAGACTGGCCCTCCAACTGCTCTCCAGGCGTCTTTTCCGGCGCTTCATTTCCCTCAGCTCCTCAGTAAACCAAGGAGCTGCGCGGGATCGGCACCGGGTCAGAGGCTGCAAAGGCACGACTTGGTCCAAGGCCCCACCAGCCGCCTGATCCCAGGCGGCTACCAGGTCCTCAGCCGAGTCATGTGCTAGATCCTCAGGAAATGGCCCAAGCTCCATATGGAACCTATCAGGATCCATCAGGCGCCTGGGGCGGACCCATCTTATTGGCTCCGCCTCCCTGCAGCGGGGTGTAGCGGTTCGAAGGTCCAGGCGAAGGAGCGAGTGATCTGACCATGACAAGGGTTCCATGTCTATATCCCTATAATAAGATCACTCAACCACTGGCCAGAGACAAAAATCAAGTCCAGAGTGTGTCCCCCCCCCGTGGGTGGGTCCATGAACTAGTTGGGTCAGGTCCATGGCCGTCATGGAAGCCATGAACTCCCGAGCCATCTCAGACGTTTCACCGATGGACGGCAAGTTGAAATCACCCATGACCATAAGCCTGGGTGTATCAACTGCCACCATGGCTATCACGTCGAGGAGCTCGGACAGGGCCGTTGCCGCGTGGCAGGGAGCCAGGTATGCAAGCAACAAGCCCATCTGAACCCCATGACCCCATCTCACAAAGAGGGATTCACATCCGGCAATCTGTGGCACAGTGGTCTCCCTTGGACTAAGACCTTCGTTAATAATAACCGCCACCCCCCGCCCCTCCCCTGGGCCCTCGGCTGATGGAATGCTCTGAAGCCTGGTGGGCACATCTCAACCAGAGGGACCCCTCCCTCCGGGCCCAACCAGGTCTCCATAATACCCGCCAAGATCATTAATTAATTGGTTTATTAAACTTATCTCACTGTTGAAGAATCCCTTGGAGGCTTAGTAAATGATGAAGTGATAATAATGAAAACAATTAAAAGTAGCAACAACTAAATAGTACTAAGAACCAAGAGGTTAGATGCTACAGAGGTGGAGTCTTCACTTTTATCCTGTCAACCACCTTCAACATAACATGCCCCCGTCAGGGCCCAAGGCCAGTTTTCAGAGCCAGAGGTTTTTTTAAAAAAATTATTAAATGAAATAACAAAAAAACTCTCCCACCCCCTCTCTCTCACACAGCAGGAGATACAGGAAACAAAACTAGGACAACTATAAAGGGTTCAAATGCCTGTATATTAGTTGTAGCAGCACGGGGGAACAAACAGGGAGAGCTTGGAATTCTAGTATATGAGGGCAAGTATGATATTGTAGCTATTAGTGAAACTTGGTGGGATGGAACAACAAAAGAAAGGAATGGGGGAATTGCATTGTATGTTAGGAATTACTATATCTCCATAGAAATTCACAACGCTAGGGATGAAAACCTTCTTGAAAGTATTTCTGTAATACTTGAATGTTCAATCATCACATCAATTAAAAACCAGAAAAAATGCCATGATCCCAAATTCTTAATCTTTACTCACATTGACACTAAGCAGCAGCAGTTCGATTGGAGTAATTAAAAAATCATTGGCCACGCTACCACCCACCATGCTCGTGAGTTCATCGAAGCCTGGCACTCCACAAACAATTCCCTCAAAAGCAGTGATGGGATTCTGCCGGCTCGCACTGGTTCCTCAGAACCGGTAGCTAACTTTTGTGCAGTTCAGTGAACTGGCCGAATAGCATTCCTCACCCCTCCTCTCCCAGCCACTCCTCTCCTTGCCCGGCCTCTTCTCGCAGGTTGGCTCACCTGACCTTTGAAACATAGAAAGCTTCCATCCTAGGAAATAAATCCAATCAACACCTCTCTCTCCACCAAAATAGGGTGGCCCGTCTTCATGTCTTTTCAAATGTAGCCTCTCTTCCAAACGATCCTGGGTCTAACATGAGCAATGCACACTGAACTCATCCAGAGGAGGATGAGGGAAGGATTTGAGCTACCTAAAAGGGTGTGAACGATCAGTTCAGACTTTGGCTGAACTGAAAAACTTGGACCAGAAAACACACAAACTTTTGAATATGTACCATGCTTTACATCCACGAAGTGACATCGACAGGTTGTATCTGCCAAAAAAAATAGGGGGCAGAGGACTATTGCAAATCCATCAAACTGTAGAAGAAGAAAAACGAAGTTTGAATGATTATGTGAACCAAAGTACAGAAACATTGCTCTAGGCTGTGAAAACGGAGAACATATAAAAACAACAGAAACAAAGACAGAATATAAGGAAAAACAGCTGGATGACAGATTAAATAGATGGAAAACCAAAGCTTCGCATGGTCAACACTTGAAAAACATTGAACAAAAATTTGATGACAACTTTACATGGGCATGGCTTAAGATGGGAACCATCAAGAAAGAAATGGAAGGTTTAATACTCGCTGCTCAAGAACAAGCACTACAAACTAATGCCATGAAAGCAAAGATACAAAAATCCACTGACAATCCAAACTGTCGACTTTGCAACAACAAAGTTGAAACTGTTTTCCATTTAATATGCGAATGCAGCAAAATCGCACAAACTGATTACAAAGCTAGTCACGACCAAGTTGCTAAATTAATCCACTGGTCATTATGTAAAAAATACAACTTTCCTGTATCCAAAAAGTCATGAGAACATAAAGTGGAAAAAGTTATAGAAAATGAGAAGGTGATGATTTTGTGGGACTTTCGAATACAGACGGATCGTCACTTGGAACACAACATGCCAGATATCACAGTTGTCGAATGCCAAAATGTACAATTTATTGACATCGTGGTGCCAGGAGATGCCAGAGTCGAAGAAAAAGAACTGGAAAAAATCATGAAATATCGCGACCTGGCCATCGAAACTACATGGCTATGGATGAAACATGTAACAGTGATACACATTGTCATTGGGGCACTTGGTACCATGTCTAAGAATTTTATAAGGTACATCAGCAAATTGCAGCTTCCTGCAATAACACCAGCGGAACTGCAAAAAACTGCACTACTTGGAACATCATACATCTTAAGAAGGTCCTTGGTTGATACCTAGGACGCTGGCAGCAACCCATATCAACCATTAGCACCAGTCAATGGTATTTGTGATGCATTTTTGAATGTTCAGTTGACTGAGTTTCATATTTAATGAATAAAGATAACAACAACAACAACAACAACAATAATGTTTCTTTCAATATGTAAAGAACAAGAAGAAAATCAAGGAAACAATAGTTTCACTAATAGGAGAAAATGGCGATAGACAGCAAGGGAAAAGCAGAACTGTTGAATTCCTTCTTTACATCTGTTTTTACACAAAAGGAAGACAATAAGAACTGTTAGTACCACTTTACACCACACTGGTGAGTCCACGTTTGGAATACTGCATCCCGTTCTGGTCACCATAGAACAAAAACAGATGCTGAGATCTCAGAAAGTGTATAGAAAAGAGCCACTGAGGGTCTGAAGTTAAATCGTGTGGTGAACAGTTGAGGGAGCTTGGTAGGTTTAGCCTGTAAAAGAGAAGAATTAGTGGGGACATGATCACTGTATTCCAATACTTGAGGAGTTGTCACAAAGAAGGGAGGATTGTCTTCTTCTCTAGGGCACCAAAGGGCAGGAGAAGAAGTAATGGATGGAAGCTTGTCAAAGGGAGAAGCTTGTCAAAGGGAGAACAAACCTTGAAGTAAGGACAATTTTTTTTGACAATGAGAGCTTCTGATTGCTTTAATTTCAGCTTAATGTCAGGTGTGCTTCCTTCAAAATCCAGGAAAGAATGACCCAGACTCCATGATTTATAGAAACAGGTACTTTTACTAGAAATTAAATGAATGCAACCACGGCTAAGCTGAAATTAAAACAATAGGCGCAAAAAGTGCATATAGAAAGCATCCCCTCCCACTGTCCATCATAAATCATCCAATCCAAAGGTCTTCCAGGGTCAGGTGGAAGCACGTCTGGCAGCGTCATCAATCAGGAATGCCACGACGGTTACCGATAGCCACTCCAAGGATTCAGTTTCATTTCTTCTGAAGCCACGCCCCTCCTCCAGCATGCTTCCCCCCAAGCTCCCTACTTCTCCCCCCCTCCCGGTTCCTATGGCAGCCAAAGCAGCAAAAGCGGAGGCTGATATTTGGAATAATTTGCCTCTGGGGTTGTGGGTCACTAGAAGTTTTCAAGAATAGATTGGATAGCCATTTGAATGGGATGGTGTAAAACTGTTGCCTTGAGCAGGGGGTTGGTCTAGAAAACCTTTGCGGTCCCTTCCAGTCCTGTGATCCTATGTATTTTCTATAATAAACATGGGGGCACACACAGAGTTGGAAAAATATATCCATGACATATTTCTTAGGAAAAACATCAAAATGGTTTGCTCCTGCTTTTCCTTTTAATAATTAGACTTTCTTTAAAATCATTTTTGAATGTTAGTTCTGGGAATATTATTATTTTTTGTTTTGTTTTTGATAATGGACATGGACAGGGAACGTTAGGTATTCCTTATTGTAACTTCTGTTGATCTATTCAAATAAGAGTTTCATTTTGGAGATACATAAGAGGTCAAGATGAAGAGCAACAAAGCAGGAACAATTTATGGGAACTGACCAAAGGAACTAGAGTAATTTCATTGGATTCGTGATCTCTTAGCAATTTCCTTTCAAGAGAGATTTTGAGCAGAAGAGACAAAAAAGTCTTGTGTTCCCAGTGATAATATGCAGAATCCCTTAGTGATGTGCTTGTGCTCATAAATTCTACATAATTACAAGACATCTTCAGAGAGTATATTATTGTCATGAGAACTGAGATGTTCTTAGTGTTGATGAACTTACTGAGCTCCTTCTAAAACAATTCTTAAATTTTTTTACTAGGACACTCCCTGTGAAAGTTTTTGAAGGTTTTCCCATGATATACCTGCAAATTCCTGAATAGGTATACAACACCTGGCTTTCATAGAAGTGAAAGTGGATCATCTTCCACCTTGCTGAGCTCTTGTAAAAGCTGTTAACACGCTTCGGTTTTTCTTAATGGATGTGGAAGATCTTGGAAAGGAAGGAAAGTAAAGTTCTCCTCTGTCATTGGAGAAAAACTGCAGCTCTGGAAATCCTTTGTCATCTGTAATCCAAGAACTAACCAAGAATTTTGCTTAGCTTCCTAGTCCAAAGAAGGTAATGTAGGCGCCAAATCTGATGAGATCATCTTTGTTTTCCCAGAAAATTAATGTGTATTAGTAGCAGTTTAGTTTAATATAGGTATGTTCTAACATGTTTTAACATCTTTATTCAAATTCAGAATAAACATTGCTGGTGCATTTTGAGTATTTCTATGATGTTTGCTTTTGGAAAGATTCTTCCCTGACAGGAAATCTCTGTATAATCTGACAACAAAAATAATAGGATAAAGAATAATAGAGTTGGATGGGATCTTGGAGGTCTTCTACTCCAAACCCCTGAAAAATAAATATGATATGGGCAAGATCTAACTTATTTCCTAAATTCAAATAATAATCGATGATGCAAAAGAGGTATTTTATTTTATTCCCTTTTGAAAGACTCTAAAGGAACATTTCTTTTAGCAAGTATTTGTTCTTAACTTGCTACTGAAAATGTAAGGCATATTTGGGATTATTATTCAAGCAATTTTGAAATAGATACATTGAAGAAATTTCCAGTCATATTTCTTTATTTTGATTTCTACCCAATAGTAGCAAACCAAGAACAGAATTGTATTGTATATGTTTTCCAGCATGAGAAAATGTTTGCAGTTTTACAAGTGAGGGCAATTTTTGCACATGTACCTAGTGGTAATAAATTCCTTGGATTTTTTTTTTTTTTAGTTTGCATTTCTACTGAACAAATCATGGAATAAATTAGTACTAATGACAAAACATGCAAAAATTCATATGGACTTTTAAGTGAAAAGGCAAAAGTAGCAATTAATTAATATTATTTCACTTGGCCTGCCAGTACTGCAGTAACTGAAGACAACAAGTTGATCTGAGTTTAAATGATGATAGATGTTAAAGAAGATTCTGTCAACTAAGAAAAACTCACAATAACTATATATTGCAAAAATGAAAACCCTACCAAACTTCACTCAAAATAACTTTTTAAGATTTTTTTCCTCTTTAAACTGACATCTAAAGCAAATTCTCTTGTCTCAACTAAAGGAAAACTGATACGAAAATGGAAAAGCAGGAATATTTTTCTACCTGATAGTAATTTTGTTGTTCCATGCATCAAAACACTCTCATGAAATTCCTGGAATCATTTCATTACACTGATATAAAAAAATAGCTGTTAGCTGTTGTCAACATTGGGTTTTTCTAGATTTACATATTTAAAAATGGGAGTTGATCTAAAGGTCTTTTTTCTTCTTCTCAGACAGGAGGCCATGACAGAAGCTAAGAACATCACTTCTGTCAAGGAATTCATCCTGCTGGGACTCACCAGCCACAGAAAATTTCAGCTTCTCCTCTTTGGGGTCATTCTCATTATCTACTTGCTTACAGTTTTGGGGAACCTGCTGATCATCATATTGGTGCAGGTTGATTCAAACCTTCACACACCCATGTATTATTTTCTCTCACATCTTGCATGGGTAGATATGTGTTACGTAACTACCACTATGCCTCTAATGTTAACTCAGCTCCTGACTGGAGATGGAGCCATTTCTTTAGCATTCTGCATGGTCCAGATATACATTGCAGTGGCCTTAGGGGGTGTTGAGATTCTCCTGTTTGGAGTCATGGCCTATGACCGCTACCTAGCCATCTGCCGTCCCTTACTTTACCCTGTTCTCATGGACAAGAGCTGCCAATTGCAGTGTAGTTCAATATGCTGGATAACAGCTCCTCTGGTCTGTGTGATTTATATTGTCTGCCTTCTTTGCCAAAACTATTGTGGTCCCAATCGGATCAATAACTTCATATGTGAGATGCCAGTGGTGCTGAAACTTGCATGTGGTGATACCAGAATTGCCGAGGTGATTATTTTTGGTATAGGAGGATTTTTCCTTTTGGTTCCCCTTTCTATTGTATTGACCTCCTATGGATTTATTCTTCATTCTGTCTTACAAATGAAATCCAGTGGCCGTCGCAAGGCTTTCTCTACCTGTGGCTCCCATCTTATTGTGATCTCCATGTTTTATGGCCCTTTGCTTTGGGTGTACATAATTCCAAAGACTGACTCAGCTGCTGATCGTGATAAACAGATTTCAATCTTCTACGTATTGATCACTCCACTGCTCAACTCTGTCGTTTACACCCTGCGAAACAAGGACTTTCATAGGGCAGTAGTCAAGATCTTGTGAAGAAGGGCACTTGAAGAAAAGTATTAGGGATTCTGCCATGGGTAACCAAGTTTCTTTTTTTTAAAAAAAACTGGTCTGACAGTGACTAATTATGAGCATTGTCTTTGTTTCTCTAATCTTGAAATCATGTCATGGATTCTGTGGATGATCTATCTGCCTAGTCTTCATCTAGTAATTGTGTGGAGATGTTGAAACCTCAAGGCCTAGTTTTTTTGAAGTCTAAATGTCCCAGCTTCTGCCAACCTAGCAGTTCGAAAGCACATAAAAAATGCAAATAGAAAAATAGGGACCACCTTTGGTGGGAAGGTAACAGCGTTCGGTGCACCTTTAGCATTTAGTCATGCCGACCACATGACCACAGAGATGTCTTCGGACAGTGCCGGCTCTTCGGCTATGAAATGGAGAGGAGCACCGCTCCCTAGAGGTAGGAACAACCAGCACATATGTGCAAAGGGAACCTTTACCTTTACCTTTAAAGAACATGTACTTCCCACAGTGTTGAAATATTTCATATCCATCTCTCTAAATGCACTGGACAGAACATAGTGTATTGCAATTCTCAATCCAGTTTATATTTGGGAAAATTTATTTCTTTGATCAGCCTAGTTCTTTCTACAGATTTTCCATCTTCCATAATTACCCTTTCTTTTTAATTGATCACATGTTGGCTGATTGTACTAATCTATAATGTTTGCTTTCTAGAACCATGATGTCAATGCAATGTTTCTGTGGTTATTTTCTCAGTCCAATATCATCCATTTGTGATGGGATGGTATAACCCCCCAAACCATTTCTTGGTTAAAGTAGGGTAAATATGGTGCACATGCTTCCCTAATTATGGTCTGAAAATTTTCTGAAAAGTTCTTATAACATGATACTTAAAGCTGGAGAAAAACTATCTAATTTACAGTGAATGTCTGTGTAAAGATGAAGTTAAGGGAGAAGCCTAGAACTGTGTTGGTTTTTTTGTCAGCTGCAGCACACTGCTGGCTCATATTTAAATGGTTGTCCACTATGACTCCAAGATCCCTCTCACAGTCACTACTATTGAGCAAGGTACCACATATACATTTTATTTTTCTTGCCTAAATGTAGAACCTTGCTTTCTTCACTGTTGAATTTCATTTTGTTAGATAGCACCCAATGTTCAAGTCGGTCAAGGTCCTTCTGTATCTTAAGCCTATCTTCTGGAGTGTTGGCTATTCCTGCCAGCTTGGTGTCATCTGCAAAGAAGAGGCAGGAAAAGCAGAGAAAAGGTTTTGTGTTATAATAGATGCTTCAGCTAATGCTGTTGGAGGGGACATCAACTAGGAAAGTGAAAGTGAAGTGAAGGGAATCCTGCAATTCCTGCGATTCAGCCCTGGGACAAGGAAGAAGCCCAGGAAGAAAATCCTGGACTGGCTTATGAATACTTGAAAGACCAGAAGAATGGACTATATCATGTTTATGAACCTCCTGATGCTGGATAGTGGAGCTGTGTGAGTTCAAGTCTTTTTTCCTCACCAAGAGACCAAGGAAACATCCAGACATTCTATTAGCAGTCATTGAAATAAAGAGGAGGAAAAAAAAGAAGAAGCTGTAATACAGCAAATCAGAAATTGATGGAAAGGGAGTTGAGGTTAAGAACAGATAGATGTCGTGTGTAGTTTTCCAGATGTTCACAGACTGACATTGGTTATATAATTATATTATATAATGTCAATGATAATTGTTTAGTAGGAGTCCTCCATCCTGGAAAACACTTTTGAAATTTGGGGTACAATAAATTAGGTGATTGTTGACTCTGAAACTGAATCAAAGGGTGGAATTGTAACTGTGGTGTTGTAAATCATGCAAAAGACTGTGGAATTTGAATGGTGTTGGAATATTACAGAAATATTGTTTTGAATTTGAAATCCACAAATTCTATTTTTGGATCATATGGCTTTTTGATTAAAAAAACCCCACCTAGACTCATTGGTTGAGTTAAACCAACCAAAATTACTTTACACTCTACAACAATCCAAATGGAAGCAATTCTATAGATGCAATACTAGTTATGTTAATTTTCTTTTAAAATATGTTACCGAAGGAATTCTGGGAGTTGAAGCCCACATATCTTGAAATTTCCAAAGTTAAAAAACTCTGGTTTAAAAGCAGGGGTGGGATTCAGCTGGTTCTCACTGGTTCGAGTGAACCGAATGTTAATTTTAATCTGGTTCACTGAACTGGTAGTTGCAAGGGCTGGCTGACCCCACCCACCCCACCCCACCCTGCCCCTCCCAGGAATCTCCACACAGCCCATTTTGTATGCCAGGTAAGTGCAGGGCCCATGGCGGAGGCTCTGGGAGGGCGAAAAACAGGTCTTCAATTTCCGGCCTCTGGAGGGGGAGGTCATTTTCGCCCTCCCAGAGGTTCAAGGAAAGCCTCTGGAGTCTGGGGAGGGCAAAAACCTCCCTCCTCATGGTGCAGGAGGCCATGTAGGCCATGCCCACCATGGCCACACCCACCTAGCAGCCAGGCAGAGAACCGGTTACTAAAATTTCTGAATCCCACCCCTATTTAGAAGGAAGTTGTATGTATATGTAACCTGAAATCAAGTTCTGAATTTTGTGGAAAATCTATCTCTCAGCCTATACATTTTAATCCCATTGTATCATTACCAGGGACCAGAACCTAAACATTGCTACACAACTAACAAAAAAGCTTGACTATATCAAAGAGGGAAGCAAATATTTTATCAACTCACTACTTCACTACTTCCCAAAAAATCAGAGAAATTTTTAGCATGAAGCTGAGTTTTTGGGCAAAAAACAGATTGGGAATCTTATTCATGTATTCTGAACTAAAATAGAAAAGCATCTAATTTCTCAATAAAAGTTGTTTATTTCTAGTAACTAATCATGTGAAATACAGAGGTCAATATACAACTCCAGCAATACAGCACATGGCTTACAAAAACTCAACTTGTGATAAACACAGGGTCACATACCCATTTGGACACACATCAGTGGTAGGTTTCAAATTGTTTTACTACCGGTTCTGTGGGTGTGGCTTGGTGGGCATGGCTTGGTGGGCATGGCAGGGGAAGGTTACTGCAAAATCCTCATTTCCTCCCAATCAGCGGGTACTCAGGAGGCAGAGAATAGATGGGGGCGGGCCAGTCAGAGGTGGTATTTACTGGTTCTCTGAACTATTCAAAATTTCCTCTAATGGTTCTCCAGAACTGGGCAGAACCTGCTGAAACCCACCTCTGACACACGAATTCAAGACTTGGAGACATGACATATTTCTTAGGCAAAGCTAATAATCATTCTGTCTATACAATTGTTTTTTTCATGTTTGAAGTTCTGGGAATATTAATCTTTCTTGCCCATAAAGGAGAATATTTGTAGCTTAAGTGTCAAGACTGATTCACACTTTCACCTTCATTTTTCTTTCACTCACAGCTTGAAAATAACAGAGAGGGTGGGTTGGTGGAATGCAAGGGTGGGAGAATGGTATTGAAACATCTCTCGACTTCCATGAGACATTGCTGTCATCTCAAGGACACACCAAGTAGACCTCCCAGTGTGGCTGACTGCTTCCCATAACAAAATGATCAGGAGTGATTGGTGGACATTTTGGACTGTGAGTGGCCCATTGGGAAAAGGGGGAATTAACTATGCTTGCTTTTGTGTGGGAAACTCGGAACTTGTTTCACTTCTTCTGTGCCAATGTGATTTATTCAGTAAAGTTTTATATTCTTGGTAAAATAATGTCCCAAGAGTTCCTTTTTCTGCATTCACCAACTGGACAGGGTTGAAATGAAGGACCTTTGGTCTCTCTGAGCTTGCTTGTTTTCTTGTGGAGTTTTCATTGCCCAAGCTGGGTAATATCATCACTGTTATTGAGTAGTGTGGTTTGCTGTCAGTTTATTTTACAGTCCAGGGGTCAGCAACCTGTGGCTCTGGTGCGGCTCCCTGTCACTGGTCAGCTCCACAATTGATAGAGCTTTCAGTTAGGACAAGTAGAGGAAAAAGGATGCCATGCTAGGGGGAGACTCTATGGTGAGTGAACTGGACTTCCGGTCGGCTTCAGAATTGGAATGGAGGGCTTCCAGTTAAGACCTTTGTGGCTCTTTGAGTGTTTAAGGTTGCTAACCCCTGTTCTAGTCAGTGGTGGGTTGCTACCGGTTCACCCTGGATCAGGCAAACTGGTAGTGGCGGTGGCAGGAGTTGCACGCATGCAAGCACCCATGAGTGAACTGGTAGCAATGGGTTTTGAAACCCACCCCTGGTTCTAGTGGCTTTTGCCGGTTAGTGTTAAGGGGTGGTGGTTTTAGAGATTCTTTGGACTGAGTCTTTGGACTGCAACAACCACTATGTAGGACAACCAGTCAGAAGACTGGCAGAATGCATCCATGAACACCAACTAGCAGTCAGAGGACCTGATGACACACAATGTATAGATAGACTTACCCATAGGTTCAATTGGGAAAATATGACCATCATAGACCAAGCCAAGTCCACAAAACACCAGGGGATTTCTAGAAGCCTGACACTTTAATATCGAATTAATATCAATAGACACAAAGACATTAAGAACATTGAGATAATATGCAAAAGAGACAATCAACCAGCCAAAAAAGGAACAAAAAGACCCAAGAACTTTTTCACCAGCAATCAGCATCTAGATCAGCATAGATTAACTCCAAGATTAACATCAGACCAACAATCAAATAAATAATACCCCAATCCAGAAACTGTCAAAGAAGCCAACAGAAGCCAACAGAAGCCAACAAGACCAGCTCAGTGGTAGAATTTTTTTAACTACTGGTTTTGTAGGCGTGGCTTGCTGGGTGTGGTGTGGTTTGGTGGGTGTGGCAGGGGAAGGATACTGCAAAATCCCCATTCCCACCCCACTCCAGGAGAAGGATACTGCAAAATCCCCATTCCTACTCCACTCCAAGGGAAGGTTACTGCAAAATCTCCATTCCCAACCCACTCTGGGGCCAACCAGAGGTGGTATTTGCCAGTTCTCCAAACTACTCAAAATTTCCACTACCGGTTCTCCAGAACCTGTCAGAACCTGCTGAATAGCACTCCTGGACCAGCCCCACAATACTGACGGGGCAAGATACTAGAATATAAACTGAAAGCAAACAGCATTTCTTACTAGCAATGATGATATTACCTAGTTTAAGTAATGAAACGTCTGCAAGAAAAGAAGCAAGCTCAGAGAACACCAAATTCTCCCCCTCCCCCAATCTTTCTTGGTTTCGAAAATGGACATAGACAGAGAGTGTTGTTGGCTATTCATTATTTTACCTTTGTTGATACATTCAAACATGTTCTGTCCTTGATTTAAGAAACCCAAGAGGTCAAGATGAGGAGCAACAAAGCAGGAAAATTTAGTGGAAATGACCAAAGGAACAAGAGAAATTTCATTGGGATCACCATCTCATACCAATTTTCTTTCAACATTAAGTTTGAAGAGAAAGAAAAGCAAAGGAAGTTTTATATTCTCAATAGTATTATGCAGAATCCCTTACTGATCTGTATGTGTTCATACATTGTAATAATTGCAAGACTTCTTCAGAGATGTATTATTCTCCTATGAGAATTTAGGTGTTCTTAGTAGTCATGAATATGTTGAGCTCCTGCCCAAAGAACTGTTTCAGTTTTTACTAAGAAACCTTTGATGACAGTTTCTGTGGGGTCTTCCAAGAGAGAGCTATCAATTCCAGAATAGGTGCACAATGTCTGGCTTTCATAAAAAGCAAATGGATCATTGTACTGGGCACTTTAGTAGCAACAGATAATACACTTGGCTCTTTTTTAATGGATGAGGAACATCTTGGGAAACAGAAAGATCCAATTGTTTTCTGCCACTGGAGAAAATAGATAATCTGCAGCTCTGGAAATCCTTGGTCATTTCGAGTCCAAATATTAACCATATCCAGTTTTGCTTACTTCCTAAACCAAAGAAGGTAATGTAGATCTGATGTGGTCATCTTTGTTCTCCTAGAAAATTAATCTGTGTTAGTAGACTAGGTTAAGTTTAATATGGGAATGTTCTAATTTCTTTATTCAAATACAAAATAGACATTGTTAAAGCAATTTGAGTATTTCTATGATGTTTGCTTTTTCTGATCTTCCCTGAACAGGAGTTCCGTTTATAATCTCATTACAAAATTCTGCTTAGATGTCCTTTGATTTCCTAGAAAAATAATCTGTGTTTCTAGAATAAAGAAAGCTTAATATGGGCGTGGCACATCAGGAGAGAAAGTTGAACATCTTTCATATGCGCTGTCTCCGACATATTCTTGGCAATACCTGGCATGACATAGTTCCAAATAGCGCAGTCTTGGAATGTGCTGGAATTTATAGCATGTACCTAGTGAAACTTGAAAAATTAGAATATCGTGCAAAAGATCATTTATTTCAGTAATGCAGTAGTTCAAGCCTTGATTTGTCATAATTTTGATGATTATGGCTTACAGCTCATGAAAACCCCAAATTCACAATTTCAGAAAATTAGAATATTACATGAAATCAATAAAACAAGGATTGTACATAGAACAATATCGGACCTCTGAAAAGTATAAGCATGCATATGTACTCAGTACTTGGTTTGGGCCCCTTTTGCATCAATTACCGCCTCAATGCGGCATGGCATGGATGCTATCAGCCTGTGGACTGCTGAGGTGTTATGGAAGACCAGGATGCTTCAATAGCGGCCTTCAGCTCTTCTGCATTGTTCGGTCTCATGTCTCTCATCTTTCTCTTGGCAATGCCCCATAGATTCTCTATGGGGTTCAGGTCAGGTGAGTTTGCTGGCCAATCAAGCACAGTAATCCCATGGTCATTGAACCAGGCTTTGGTACTTTTGGCAGTGTGGGCAGGTGCCAAGTCCTGCTGGAAAATGAAGTCAGCACCCCCATAAAGCTTGTCTGTGGAAGGAAGCATGAAGTGCTCCAAAATTTCCTGGTTGATGGCTGCATTGACCCTTAATGAAGCATAGTGGACCAACACCAACAGATCACATGGCTCCCCAAATCAACACAGACTGTGGAAACTTCACACTGGGCTTCAAGCATCTTGCAGTATGTGCCTCTCCATTCTTCCTCCAGACTCTGGATCCTTGGTTTCCAAATGAGATGCAAAAGTTGCTCTCATCAGAAAAGAGGACTTTGGACCACTGAGCAACAGACCAGTTCTTTTTTTCTTTAGCCCAGGTAAGACGCTTCTGATGTTGTTTGTTGTTCAGGAGCGGCTTGACAAGAGGAATACGACATTTGAAGCCCATGTCCAGGATCCGTCTGTGTGTGATGGCTCTTGATGCACTGACTCCAGCCTCAGTCAACTCCTTGTGAAAGTCCCCAACACTTTTGAATGGCCTTTTCCTGACAATCCTCTCCTGGCTGCAGTCATCCCTGCTGCTTGTGCACCTTTTTCTTTCATATTTTTTCCTTCCACATAACTTTCTATTGATGTGCTTTCATACAGCACTTTGGGAACATCCAACTTCTTTTGCAATTACTTTTTGAGGCTTTCCCTCCTTATGGAGGGTGTCAATGATGGTTTTCTGCACAACTGTCAGATCAGCAGTCTTTCCCATGATTGTGATTCCTACCAAACCAGACTGAGAGACCATTTAAAGGCTCAGGAACCCTTTGCAGGTGTTATGGCTTAATTAGCTGATTAGAGTGGGACAATTTGAGCCTAGAATATGGAACCTTTTCACAATATTCTAATTTTCTAAGATTGTGAATTTGGGGTTTTCATGAGCTGTAAGCCATAATCATCAAAAGTATGACAAATCAGGTTTGAACTATCTCGCTTTGCATGTAATGAGTCTATCTCATATATTAGTTTCACCTTTTAAGTTGCATTACTGAAATAACTGACCTTTTGCACGATATTCTAATTTTTCGAGTTTCACTTGTATACACTATTGAAACAGCCACGTCTACGCTGGCTTGGGCATCAAGTGAGGTATTAATATCACTTTATAAAGCCCTAGTAAGACCACACCTAGAGTACTGCATCCAGTTTTGGTCACTACACTATAAAAAAGATGTTGAGACTCTAGAAAAAGTGCAGAGAAGAGCAACCAGGATGATTAGGGGACTGGAAGCTAAAACATATGAAGAATGGTTACACGAACTAGGCATGGCTAGTCTAGCGAAGAGAAGGACCAGGGGAGACATGATAGCTGTCTTCCAATACTTGAGAGGCTGCCACAGAGAGGAGGGGGTCAAGCTGTTTTCCAAAGCACCTGAAGGCCAGACAAGGAATAATGGATGAAAACTGACCAAGGAGAGATTCAACCTAGAAATGAGGAGGAACTTTCTGACAGTGAGAACAATCAACCAATGGAACAGAAGTTGCCTTCGGAAGTTGTGGGAGCTTCATCACTTGAAACTTTCAAGAAAAGATTGGACTGCCATTTGTCAGAAATGGTGTAGGGTCTCCTGCTTTTAGCGGGAGATTGGATTAGATGACCTATACGGTCCCTTCCAACTCTGTTAATCTGTTATGTTGTGAGAATGGCTGATGGTCAGATTCCGAAAGATCTCCTGTATGGAGAATTACTGCAGGGAAAGCGCCTTAGAGGGGGATCACAGCTGTGATACAAAGATATCTGCAAGAGGGATCTAAAGGCCTTGGAAATGGACATTAATGACTGGGAAACCTTGACCTCTGATCGTTCAGCCTGGAGGCTAAAGACGCAGCATGGCCTTCTCCAATTCGAAGAGACACTTGTTTGGCAGGCTGCGGCAAAGAGGCAGTCCTGGAACCAGCAAAATCTGGGGGCTGGGCATGGGACAGAATGTATCTGCCCTCAGTGTGGAAGGGATTGCCACTCTCGAATTGGCCTTTTTAGTCACACTAGATACTGTTTTAGGACCTTTTTCCAGAGCACGATATCATCATCTTTTGAGACTGAAGGTTGCCAATGAGGAATATGGGCATGTTCTAACTTGTTTCTTAATTTGAATTTAACTGAAATAAAGGTTGATGAAGCAAGTACAGGTATTTATTTATTTTTCTTTTGGAAAGATCCTAGAACTTTGCTTCTCACAAGTATTGCTTCTTAAACTGTCCCAAAGGTGTTTTTTTTTTCAGGAGGGAACTGGACTTTCTTGATTTTTCACTTGAAGACATTTCGCTTCTTATCCAAGAAGCTCCTTCAGCTCTGACAGATAGTTGGGAATGAAAGGATTTATATTCCTTGCAGACAGCTAGTCATTTGCATCCTTTTAGAGGGTCCTTGAAGCACTTGGAGGTTTAACTGTGTCGTCAGGAACTCAGGTGACCCTTATCTTCAAATGTTGATAATATGATTTCCTGGAATAATTCCTGATATGAAAAATGGCTGTTGGTTGTCATGGCTATGTTTGTAATTCCATATTTTTTAAAAATGACAGTCATTCTTTTTCCTTCTCCTCAGACAGGAGGCCATGACAGAAGCTGAGAACTTCACCTCCATCAAGGAATTCATCCTGCTGGGACTCACCAGCCAGAGGAAAATCCAGCTTCTCCTCTTTGGGATCATTCTTATCATCTACTTGCTTACAGTATTGGGGAACATATTGATCATCATATTGGTGAAGGTTGATGTAAAACTCCACACACCCATGTATTATTTTCTTTCCCAACTTGCAGGGGTAGATATCTGCTATGTTACCAGCACCATGCCTCTCATGTTGACTCAGCTCCTGGCAGACGATGGAACCATTTCTTTAACTTTCTGCATGATCCAGATGTACATAGCCTTGGCCGCAGGTTCTTTTGAGAGTCTACTGTTGGGGGTCATGGCCTATGACCGCTACCTGGCCATCTGCCGCCCTTTACTTTACCCTGTTCTTATGGGCAAACAGTGCCAGTTGCAGTTCACTTTAGCTTGCGGGATCACAGCTCCTCTGATCTGTGTGATTTGTATTGTCTGCCTCATTTGCCAAAACTATTGTGGTCCCAATCAGATCAATCACTTCATATGTGAGTTGCCAGTGGTGTTGAAACTTGCTTGTGGCGATACCAGTACTGCTGAGGACATTATTTTTGGTTTGGGTTCCTTTGTCCTTGTGGTTCCCTTTTGTATGATACTGACCTCCTATGGATTTATTCTTCATTCTGTGTTACAAATGAAATCAAGTGGGCGGCGCAAGGCTTTCTCTACCTGCGCCTCCCATCTCCTTGTGGTCTTCTTGTTTTGTGGCCCTTCTATCTGTGTGTATCTGCTTCCACAGACTGATTCAGCACCGAATCGCGATAAACAAATTGCAGTCTTCTACGTTGTGATCACTCCTCTCCTCAACTCTATCATTTATACTCTGCGAAACAAGGACATTCATAAGGCAGTAGCCAAGATCTTCTGAAGAAGAACCTTTGAACAAAACTATTTGTGTCAGGATTGATCAACTTACTTTAAAAAATATATATCTTGAAGGCCTAGCAATGACTCATTGTGAGTATTGCTCTGCAATAATTTGAAAGTCTGTGTTTGTCAACCCTGAGATCAACTCTGTTCTGTGGATATACCACTCACAGTGTTGAAATATTGTAGAAATCTGTTTGAATGTACCATAATGATGAACAAAACACTGCCCATAGAAATTCCTGCTCAATTTAGCACATATTGGGGGAAGATATAGTGGTCTGAATGTAGTGATATAAATTCAGGATAATATGGCTTTTTATGAACAACAAAGTTTAATAAAAGTTGGAGCATTTATCTTCTTGAATTTTTTTCTTCGAAGCAGATATGAAATTGAAATATAACATGCATGGATGCCTGATGCATATTGCTCTATACCAGGGGTGGCAAACCCAATTTCATTAAGGGCCGCATCAAGGTTATGATTGATTTTGGGGGCCAGGGTGGGTATGGGAGGGGTGGGTGTGGACATGGTGGGTGTGGCCAGCTCCCACTGCTGCTATTCTCGCTCTCCTTGGTCAGGTTGTGCGGGAAGGCAAAGTGTATGGGTCAAAGTGTGTGGCTCCTTCTTGCGAGAAGACCCAGCTTTGTAACAAAAGCATCCTCAGTGATAGGATGGGAGACCACCAGGAGAGGTCAGGGGGAGGGGACAAGGGGGAGGGGACAATAGGCAGCAGGGCTGCTGGTGGCCATGTGCTAAAGCAAGATTTTCCTCAGACCCTCACTCTCTCTCATTATAATCTCCTTCCTTCCTTCCTTCCTTCCTTCCTTCCTTCCTTCCTTCCTTCCTCCCCTTTCCCCTTTCCCCTTTTCTTCTTTTTTCTTCCATCTTCATTCTCCTTTCTTTCTTCTTCCTTCAGGTCTTTGCTTATTTTTCCTTGCTTGCTCTCTTCCCCTCTTTCCTTCTTTTTCTTTTTCCCCCTATCCCTTCTTGGATACTCCAATGCAAAAGGGGAAACATTTCTTGATGCCTTCTTGCCTTGTGATCAAATGCCACTTTTGCTAGTAGTTTGTGGCCACTTAAAAGACTGAGAACAAACCAGGCTCAGTTTCTCCCATGCTTGCATTTTGTGGGGGAGTCCACAGACAACAGTAAACTGTCAAAATGATGGCAAAATGATGCATGGACTTCAATTGCCAGAATTCCCAAGGCAGCATGAAGTTCGCCCTTCTTAAACTTGCCAAGGCTGAAAAACGCTGATCTACAGATAGGGATTTTTCCATTCCTCTTTTACTGGTTCCTACTTATGAGCAATGCAAAATCCCATTCCCAACTCATCCTACGGTAATGATCATGCAAAATCCCCATTCCCAACTCACCCCACAGTAATGATAATGCAAAATCACCATTCCCAACTCACCCCATAGTAATGATCATGCAAAATCACCATTCCCAACTCACCCCACAGTATTGATCATAAAAAATCACCATTCCCAACTCACCCTAGAGCAGGGGTTTTGGATCTGGAAGGCCTCCTGCACCACCTTGGAAGCCAAAATAGGGTGTGGGGGACCACACAATACCCCCATGCCCTGTTTTGGGCCTGGAAGCCTCCTGCACCACCCTGGAAGCCAAAATGGGGCACGGGGGGGGCGTGCGATGCCCCCCTGTGCCTCATTTTGGGCCTGGAAGGCCTCCTGCACCCACAAGGAACTTCAAAATGGGCCGTGGGGAACTCCTGGGAGGGGGGGAGGGGAGGGGGGTGGGGCCAGCCAGAGGTCTGATTAGCCAGTTCTCTGAACTGGGCAAAAAATTACCAACTGGTTTGCCCAAACCGGTGCAAACTGATTGAAGCCCACCACTGCTTGCTTTTCTATTAATACATAATGCTTAAAAGGGCTCTCCTGTAGCGACCCAGCCATGGTCTAATTCAGACTGGAAATATAGCAAAGCAAAATATTTTCCCCACTTGCTTTGTGGTGTTTTCCCCACTGAAAATGGCTGTTTGCAACACACAAGGAGGAGATACTTTCCCAAGAGCTCACAATTCAAGACTACCAATGTGCACATGAGGTATCTTAGGGTGGGGAAGGCCATGGGGGGGGGGGCGTAGTGATAGAACAGCCCTCAACGCCTCCCCAACCCACTAAGATGCTTCTCCTTCCCTCCCTTCCTGCCACATAGGCTCACTTACCTTGCAAACATCTGTCTCCTCTCTGCCACTCTTTGTCTTTGAGGAAGGGAGAGGAGAGTTGACTTGGAAAAGCTTTTTGTGCTGAGAATGGACACTCCTGGGTGCCATAATACTGTGCAGGTTCAGGCACCCATCCTCTTTTTGAAAAGTCAGGGACCCAGAAACTTTCATTCTCGGCATAAAAAGTGTTTGCGGTGCCAATCTCCTGCTCCTCTCCCCCCAAACTACTTTCCACCATCTGCTGTGGCAGGGACATTTCCTGCCCACTAAAATCTGCTCTGGATGGAGCTCCTTCAACAACCCATCCCATGGCCTGAGCTGGGAAGATCACCATGGAATCAACCGGGCACATGAATGAATGCTGTCCATGATCTGCAGGTACCTATCGCTTGCGTGCACAGGCCATCCTGTTTGAGTGCATCCCTTATACCTGAGTCCAGACTGCTGGAGTTCACCATGCCGGGGGAAGAATGAGACCCCATTGTCCCACAGAGCATGCTTGCATGCAAATGGTCACTTGGAGCAATCTTTAAAGGGAAGCCTACTGCTATGTCTCCACTTTCTTCAGCTCAGATGCAGTTGGGACACTCAAACTGCTGGCGATGGCTGACACCTTAGCAGCCATGATCCCCCCTCCCCAGCCAGTGAGCACTGCCTGACCTATTCTCTGCCTAGCCAGCCGGCTGGTGCAAAGCCTCACTGTTCTCTTCCTCCTCCTCATTGTCCTCCTTGCTCAAGCGACAGCAGGCTCCATGGGATAGAGTCTCATTCCTCCACCAGCACGGCAAACTCTGGCAGGCTGGACACAGATATGAGAGGCCTGGTCTCATGGGGCTGCCTCACGCAGTTGAAGGCTTTGTTCAGCCTTCAAACAATAAGGATGGCACTGTTGTGACCCAGGCCCACATAGTTAATATTAAATGCAAAACAGTTCCAAAAAACAGATTTTATTAAAACAGCTGAGAATTAACTCATTCTCAGTATATTCCAAATTAAATTAAAGCAAAGTCCTCAAAACACCATTCTTCAGTTTATCTCTGACCTTGGGATAATTAGGCAAACTGCCAAAGGCTTTTCTTGGCAACAGTTCAGGAACAGAAGATGCTGACAAGAAAGAAATACATCCAAACATGAAGCAAATCTCTCAACGGTTGTTTTTCGGCAAAGAGGCCAAGAGCCATTGCTGGTCTTTTAAGCCTTATGGGAAGGGCCAATCATCTCTTGGCCCTACTCCTGAGTCGTCCTCTCTGCTTTAGCTGCTCTTGCCTTCTGGCAGCTCTTCTCATACGTGCACTAGGAACAGGCTCCTCCTGTTCCTCTGCCTCTCTACTGTCAGCCTCTGGAGGCTCCAAAGTCCGCGCATCACTCCCCGATGGCCCTGGCCCCATTTCTGCCTCCGATGCAGAGCCCTCATCCAGGCCTTCCTCAATCTCCAGGACTGGCCTATATTCTTCCTCAGCCACATGGCTGTCCGACTTCACTGCCAGCACTGCAGGCTGGTGGCAGACCACAACAGGCACACACAAGAGAGTGGCGCACCTAGGCCATGGACAGCATTGGTTCCTGCACCCAGCTAATTCTGATTCCATGGATGGCCTTACTGTCTGAGGGCAGGAACAAAACCTTCAACTGAGTGAGGAAGTGCTGCAGGACCAGGCCAGGCATCCACTCTGCTGGAGTTTGCCACGCTGGGAGAGGAATAGCAAGAGCCTTGATACTACAGGGGTTTAAGGCACCCTGTTATTAAGCTTATTAAGACCAGCTGCCTGCAATTACTGCAGGGTTCGAATCTCTCCAAGGCTCAAGGTTGACTCAGCCTTCCATCCTTTCTAAGGTAGGTGAAATGAGGACCCAGTTTGTGGGGGCAATAAGCCGACTTTGTATAAATATACAAAAGGATGAAGGCTATTGCTGAGCACATTGTAAGCCGCCCTGAGTCTCCGGAGAAGGGCGGCATATAAATCAAATTAAAAAAAAAAAATGGGACCTCGTTGTCCCACGGAGCATGGATGCAAGCAAATGGGGCATCTGTGTTCACATGCCATACTTGGAGCAACCTTTGAAAGCAAGCCTGCTGCTGCACCTCAGCTTTCTTCAACTTGGATGCAGTTGGGGCACTCAAGCTACTGGCAGCGGGAGCCACATGAGCAACCATGATTCCCCCTGCCTGGCCAGCCAGCACTGCTTTACCTGCTCCCTGCCTGGCCAGCCGGTTGGCGGAAAGCTTCATCGCCCTCCTCCTCCTCCTCCTCCTCCTCCTCCTCCTCCTCCTCCTCCTCCTCCTCCTCCACCACCACCACCACCACCACCACCACCACCACCACACTCAAGTGCTGGTGGGCTCCGTGGAACAACGAGGTCTCAATCCTCTCCCAGCATGGCAAACTCCAGCAGGCTGGAGGCGGGTGTGAAGCACCTGGCCCCATAGTGCCACCTCGGTTAGTTGGAGACTTCATTCCAGCACTCAAACAGTAAGGCTGGTGGTGGAATCGGAATTGGCCAGGCTCAGGAATCAACGCCATCTGTGGCCCAGATGTGCTGCTTGCTTTTGTGCAACAGCATTACTGTTTGAAGGCTGAACAAAGCCTTCAACTGAGCAAGGTGGCACTGCGGGGCCAGCCCCTCACACCTCCGTCCAGCCCTGCGGAGTTCACCACATCAGGTCAGGAGGGGCTGGCTGGTTGGAGAGAGGAGATCATGGCTGTTCAGATGGCTCCTTCCACCCCTGCCACTGCCAGCAGCTTGGGTGCCCCAGCTGAAGCACGGATCTCTCTCTCTCTCTCCCTCTCCCTCCCTCCCTCCCTCTCTCCCTCCCTCCCTCTCTCTCTCTCTCTCTCTCTCACACACACACACACACAGAGGTTGGAGAGTTCTCTTGCTCTCTCTCTCTGTCTGTCTGTCTTGCTGTGCTGGCAGTGGCGGTGTTTAATACCTGGCCAGTGGGGCACTCAGGTAAGTTGGTGTGGGGCATGGGGGGCAGCACAGCACCCCCTGCCTTGCTTCATCCTCCACCCCCCCAGGGCCGGATTTAGATGAAAAGAGGGCCCTAGGCTATTCCACTTATGAGGCCCTTTCACCAGTGGTGGGATTCAATTTTTTTAACAACAGGTTCTGTGGGCGTGGCTTAGTTGGGGGTGTGGCTTGGCAATCATGTGACGGTGGGCGTGGCTAGCTGGTCACGTGACTGTGTAGGCGTGGGTAGCTCGTCATGTGACTGGGTGGGCGTGGCTATGTGCATAGACTTTTTTCAGAGGGCTGAAAAAAGTCATTTCCGACTGGGCCTCGCACTTTTGACCGGTCCTCACACTTATGACCATCCTCACATTTATGCCCGTGCAGCTTTCTTAACAACCATGTCACTCATTTCACAACTGCTTCTCTTCACCATGGTGACAAGATAGGGCAAAAATGTAAAATGTGAGGATAGTCGTAAATTCAAGGACTGGTCAGAAATAACTTTTTCAGCCCTCTGAGTAGTCCATATGCATAAAAGGATACAGCAATAGAGAGGGATGAAGGAAGGGAAGGGAAATTAGAGTAGGAGGGAGGGTAAGAGAGGGAGGAAGAGAGGAGGAGAAGGAGAAAGGAAGAGGAAGTAGGGAGGAGAAGAAGAGGGGAAAGAGAAAGTAAGAAGGAAAGAAAAGAGAGAGGTGGTAGGTTGGCTGTCTCAGGAATTCTGGGAGTTGAAGGCCACAGGTTGTAAAAGAGCCACAATTGCCCACCCCTGGCTACGGTAGGCTGGCGCCGCGCGGGTGGGAGGCGAGGGGTGGGCAAGCCAGCAATTTAACAAAGGGCTCGGCCGAACCCCCTAGAACCCCCAGAATCCCACCACTGTGTAGGCCCCTCTTGATCTTGAGGCCCTAGGCTGAAGCCTAGTTAGCCTATAGGAAAATCCGGCCCTGCACCCCCCACCACCATCTTGCTTTGTGGTGAAGAGATGGCCAAAGAAGCCAAAAGTAAACAACCCAACCAAAGAATTTCCAAGGTCACCCCCACCAAAACTGACAGGACAAGACAGTAGAATATAAATTGACAACAAACTGCACTGCTTACTAACAATTTTGAAGAGAAAGAAAAGCAAAGAAAGTTTTATATTCTCAACGGTATTATGCAGAATCCCTTACTGATCTGTATGTGTTCATACTTTGTAATAATTGCAAGATTTCTTCAGAGAGTGTATTATTCTCCTATGAGAATTTAGGTGTTGTTAGTGGTCATGATTGCTGAGCACCTGACCAAAGAACTGTTTCAGTTTTTACTGAGAAACCTTTGGTGACAGTTTCTGTGGGGTCTTCTAAGAAAGAGCCACCAATTCCAGAACAGATACACAATATCTGGCTTTCATAAAAAGCAAATGGATCATCGTACTGGGCACTTTAGTAGCAACAGATAACACACTTCTACAGTTCTGGAAATCCTTGATCATCTGCAGTCCAAGTACTAACCATATCCAGCTTTGCTTACTTCATAGTCCAAAGAAGGTAATGTAGATCTGATGAGATTATCTTTGTTCGCCTAGAAAATTAATTTGCGTTAGTAGACTAGGTTAAGTTTGAAACCGGTATGTTCTAATTTCGTTATTCAAATACTAACTAGACCTTGTTAGAATAATTTCTATGATGTTTGGGTTTTTCAGGAAACATTCTTTCCTGAACTTCCCTGAGTTCCCTTTATAATCTCATTACAAAATTCTGCTGAGATATCTTTTGTTTTCCTAGAAAAACAATCTGTGTTACTAGGATAAAGAAAGATTAATATGGGCGTGTTCCAACTTGTTTCCTAATTTGAATTTAACTGAAATAAAGGTTGATGAAGCAAACCTAGATATTTCTTTTCCTCTCACAAGTATTACTTCTTAAACTGTTACTGAAAATACATACTAAGTTTGAGAGTACTATTCAAGCAATCTAGGAATATTTATTTTATTTTATTTATTTATTGGTTCAATTTATATGCCGCCCTTCTCTGAGACTCAGGGCGGCTTATAATGCGTTAAGCAATAGCCTTCATACTTTTGTATATACCTGCTTAATAGGGCTTTCGCCCTGCCCCCAAGCGGTGTTCTTTTTTATACAAAGTCAGCTTATTGCCCCCACAATCCGGGTCCTCATTTTACCTACTTCAAAAGGATGGAAGGCTGAGTCAACCTTGAGCCTGGTGAGATTTGAACTTGCAGTAATTGCAGGCAGCTGGTGTTACTTAATAGTACTTTAATCTGCTGCGCCACCAAGGCTCTTGTAATAGAATTCTTGAAGGAATAGAATCCTTCAAGAAACTCACAACTATATTTCTTTATTTTGTTGCCCATCCATGAGTTTCAAACCATGAGTATAACTGTCTTATGTATATTTTCCAGCATGGAAAAATGTTTGCAGTTTCTGAAGCTTTATTTCTTTTTTTTTTGGAAAGATCCTGGAGCTTTCCTTCTCACAAGTATTGCTTCTTAAACTGTTAGTGTAAGTATGTACACTATTTGAGATTTCTATTCAAGTAATCTTGACATAGAATCATCCAAGACTTTCACATATATGTTTCCTTATTTTTGGTGGCCATATGTGTGTTGCAACTCATGATTAGAAGTGCCTTACATATATTTTCCAGCAGGGGAAAATGCAGTTTTTGAAGCTCTGGCCATTTTTCACAATTACGTATTTGTTCACTTTGTTAGTCTGTCAGAACTACAGTTACTGAAAAAATTCTGAACATGAGATCAAATATTTAAACCGCCCTCACCCCCATAAAAGCTACAGATGGCAGAAAACTCGACTTCACCCCAAATAAGTTATTTAGATTCTTTAGATACTCATTAACATATTTATACAGCAAATTTATTTTGCTTCAAATATAGGAAAACAAGACCAGGAATATATTTTTTACCTCATGGCAATTTTGATTATCATGCATCAAAGCACACTTATCTTCAGATGTTGATAATATGATCTCCTGGAATAATTCCTGATATAAAAAATGGCTGTTTGTTGTCATGGTTTTGTTTGTAATTCATATTTTTTAAAAATGACAGTTATTCTAATGGTCCCTCATTCTTTTTCCTTCTCCTCAGACAGGAGGCCATGACAGAAGCTGAGAACTTCACCTCCGTCAAGGAATTCATCCTGCTGGGACTCACCAGCCAGAGAAAAATCCAGCTTCTCCTCTTTGGGATTATTCTTATCATCTACTTGCTTACAGTTTTGGGGAACATGCTGATCATGATATTGGTGCAGGGTGATGTAAAACTCCACACACCCATGTATTATTTTCTTTCCCAACTTGCAGGGGTAGATATCTGCTATGTTACCAGCACCATGCCTCTCATGTTGACTCAGCTCCTGGCTGATGATGGAACCATTTCTTTCACATTCTGTATGATCCAGATGTACATTGCCTTGGCCACAGCTTCTGTTGAGCTTCTCTTGTTGGGGGTCATGGCCTATGACCGCTACCTGGCCATCTGCTGCCCTTTACTTTACCCTGTTCTCATGGCTAAACAGTGTCAGTTGCAGTTCACTTTAGCATGCTGGATCATAGCTCCTCTGGTCTGTGTGATTTGTATTGTCTGCCTCATTTGCCAAAACTATTGTGGTCCCAATGAGATCAATCACTTCATATGTGAGTTGCCAATGGTATTAAAACTTGCATGTGGTGATACAAGTATGACTGAGGACATCATTTTTGGTATAGGCTCATGTGTCCTTCTGGGTCCCCTTTCTTTTATATTGACCTCCTATGGATTTATTCTTCGTTCTGTATCACAAATGAAATCACAGGTGGGAAGGCACAAGGCTTTCTCTACCTGTGTCTCCCATCTCCTTGTGGTGTCCTTGTTTTATGGCCCTTCCATCTGCGTGTATCTGCTTCCAAAGACTGATTCATCATCTAATCGCGATAAACAAATTGCAGTCTTCTATGTTGTGATTACTCCTCTCCTCAACTCTATCATTTATACTCTGCGAAATAAGGACATTCATAGGGCAGTAGCCAAGATCTTGTGAAGAAGGACCTTTGAACAAAACTTATAGTGTTTGTGTCAGGATTGATCAATTTACGTAAAAAAAAAAAAGCCCTGATGATCTAACAGTGGCTGATTGTGAGTATTGCTTTGCAATAATTTGAAAGTCTGTGTTTGCCAACCTTTAAATCAACTCCGTTCTGTGGATGATCTATCTCTCAGCCTTGTCTTTACTCAGTAATTGTGTTGAGACATTAAAACCTCAAAGTGTAGCTCTTATGAAATGTGGAATATGCTGCTCTTGTTTCGACTTTCTTGGTTGTGGTGTGAAAAAGTTTAGAAAGTATGATGCTTTAAACTATAGAGGAACAAATCTGATACCAAGTTAACCTCCTATAAAAATGAGGGATTATGGGATTCAGGTAGGTAAGATTTAACCTATTCTTTACATTCTTTATTATTGGTATATATTTTTGTTAGTCCATGCTGCCCTCAAAGAAACAATATCATCTTCTAGATTTTCACAAGATGGCTATATAATCTGTCCTATAATTTTTACTGGTGGTGTTGGCAGCTCATCAGAATGAGTCTTCATTTCTATCCAATATTTCAGAAATCAGAAAAAATGTCTCCAGAAGTTGTGGATGCTCCAACCTTGGAAGTTTTTAAGAAGACATTGGACAACCATTTGCCTGAAACGGTAGAGGTCTTCTTTCCTGAGCAGAGGGTTGGACTAGAAGACCTCCAAGGTCACTTCCAACTCTGTAATTCTGTTCTGTTCTAATTCAATGATATTTTATTTTAGGCAGGTGAGATTTAACCTCTGTTTAGATATTTGTCCTATAATTTTTACTGACATTGTTGTTAGTTAGTCAGTATGAATCTTCATTTCTACCCAACACTTCAGAAAACAAGAAAACTTATTGATTGCAATGGATTTAGTGCTATTTTATTTTCAGTAAGTTTAATAGGATTGCATTGTAAGGTCTTCCAAAGAACATATACCACCATCACAGTGTTGAAATATTGTAGAAATCTGTTGGAATATATCGTAATGATGAACCAAACACCATCTATGGAAATTCCTGCTCAATTTAGCACATATTGGGGGAAGATATATTGCTCTGAATGTTATGACCTAAATTCAGGATAATATGGCTTTTTGTAAAATAAACAACAAAGTGTAATAAAAGTTGGAGCATTATCTTCTTGAAGTTTTTTTCTTTAAAAGCTGATATAAAATGGATATAAATATAACACCACCCGGGTGTTCCTATTGCTGTATACCATTCAGTTCTCTAAATGTTAATAATTTTAAAATGATATTTCTGAAGCTTTTGAAAAAGTTTCATGTTTAAAACTGAAAAGGAATAAGCCAGAGGTGAAGAAGCTTCTTTGATGAGAAATGAAACATCTTCAAAGAAAAAACAGAGTCTATTGCTTACATTTCACAAATTTCGATTACTCTGGAATATTGTTTATAAATCCATGTTGATCCCAACTGAACAATGAATATTTATTATCACAGATTGACCATACCATGTTGTTGTTGTTGTTGTTGTTAGTTGCGAAGTCAACCCATCGCGACCCCACGGACAATGTTTCTCCAGACCATCCTGTCGTCTACCATCCTCTGGAGTCCATTTAAGCTCATGCTGACTGCTTCAGTGACTTCATCCAGCCACCTCGTTCACTGTTGTCCCCTTCTTCTTTTGCCCTCAATCATTCCCAGCATTAGGCTCTTCTCCAGTGAGTCCTTCCTTCTCATTTGGTGGCCAAAGTAAGAGTTTCATCTTCAGGATCTGGCCTTCTAAAGAGCAGTCAGGGTTGATCTCCTCTAGGACTGACCGGCTTGATCACCTTGCAGTCCAAGTGACCCTCGGGAGTCTTCTCCAGCACCATAGTTCAAAGGCCTCAATTCTTCGGCATTCTCCCTTCCTTATGGTCCAACTTTCACAACCATACATTGCAATTGGGAAAACCATAGCCTGACAACCTTGACAACCATACCATAATATGTTCTAAAGTTTTGCCCAGTATCAATGATAGCTGACTAGTTATCGATTCCTCTTTTTCCAAAGTATATTTTTTTTTGAAAACAATAATGCTGGTTGGGAAATGCTGAGAATTGATGTCTGTACTTCTTGGTTGTTAAGGTTGAGAAACACTCTACCAGGAAATGTGCTTCTAAATTATCAATGACATTTGACTATGAATACATGTATAAAAGATTGCATAGAAAAAGCTACAAACAGCATGTTCTACTAGGTATACTAATAACAGATATTAGGCATTCAGACAAACTACTACAGTATTTAATTACTTCATTTACATTTCATATTTCTAAATCACCCATGTACCTCTAAGAGGGGCTGTAATATAATGTATTGTATTATTATATTTTATTATACTACTATACTACCACCAATGAGCAGTGGTTAGAAGGCAGTACTGCAGGCTACTTCTGCTGATGGCCAGCTGCCAGCAGTTCGGCAGTTCAATTTTCACCAGCTCAAAGTTGACTCAGACTTCTATCCTGCCGAGCTTGGTAAAATGAGGACCCAGATGGTTGGTGGCTGTAGGCTGACTGTAAACCACTTAGAGAGGGCTATAAAGCACTGTTCAGTGGTATATAAGTCTAAATGCTATTTTTCATGTTATTGCTATTAAATACCATACGGTATGGTATGGTATGGTATGGTATGGTATGGTATGGTATGGTACGGTACGGTACCATGCCATGCCATGCCATGCCATGCCATTCCATACCATACCATTCATTATTCTTATTATACTTACCTCACATCATACTATGCCAAATCATTATATTATAAGATTTGAGGGACATGGATGGTTTAAAAATATGAAATTTATGAAATATAGAGGAAATAAATAAATATTGAGCTTGTCTGTGGAAATCCTCATTCATTCAGGTCATCCAGGCCTACAATCTTCTTCAGATCTGGTTGAATGGTGGAGAATGGAAGGAACTGAAGAAGCTTTTTGGATTGGAAGTGAAATATCTTCAAGCAAACACAAAGAAAGTCCAACTGCCTTTTGAAAAAAGCACCTTTGGGATTGAGTTTGTCTGAATGCCTGATTTTCATGAACTTCATATTAAAATATTAATCATTTATGGAAACAACAACAGAACACCAAAATGTCAATTTTCTTCTTCATAGAATCATTTAGGAGATGGATAGTGTCTTTGAGATGAGCCAAGAAATCTTTATCATGCAGTGTTGGGGCATGATACCCTCTCTCCAGATGCACATCTCAGAGAAAGAGCAAAGAATTTATTTATTTATTTATTTATTTATTTATTAATTAAATTTCTATACCGCCCTTCTCCAAATAGGACTCAGGGCAGTGCACAGCCTAAGTAAAAACAGAGCATACAAAATTTAAAAAACAGTATTAAAATAATTAAATATTTTGGCCGTAAATTAAAACAACCCAATTTAAAATCAATTTAAAATTTAGCTCAAGCCAGCCCAGCTAGTTGGAATAAATAGGTTTTCAGGACCCGACGAAAAATCCGGAGGTCTGTTATTATATGTAGCTTTGGGGGAAGGTTGTTCCAGAGGGTGGCTGCCGTCACAGAGAAGGCTCTCCCCCTGGGGGTCACCAGCCGACATTGTCTGGCGGACGGCACCCTGAGGAGGACCACTCTGTGCGAGCGTACTGGCCAGTGGGAGGCTATTGGTGGCAGAAGGCAGTGTCGTAAGTACCCCGGCCCTAAGCCATGGAGCGCTTTAAAGGTGGTCACCAACACCTTGAAGCGCACCCGGAAGACCACTGGGAGCCAGTGCAGCTCGCGCAGGAGAGGTGTCACATGGGAGTGCCACGTCGCCCCCATAATCCCCCGCACGGCCGCGTTCTGGACCAGCTGGAGCCTCCGGGTGCACCCCAGGGGGAGCCCCATGTAGAGAGCGTTGCAGTAGTCCAGGCGGGAAATGACTGGTGCCTGAGTGACTGTGTGTAGAGAGTCCCGATCTAGAAAGGGGCGCAACAGGCGTATCAGGCGAACCTGATAAAAAGCCCCCCTGGCCACGGCCGTCAAATGATCTTCTAAAGACAGCCGTGCATCCAGGAGGACGCCCAAGTTGTGAGCCCTCTCTGTGGGGGCGAGTGATTTGCTCCCAATAGCCAGCGATGGCGTCAGCTGGCTATATCGGGATGCTGGAAGCCACAGCAACTCGGTCTTGGAGGGGTTGAGTCGGAGCCTGTTTCTCCCCATCCAGGCCTGCACGGCCTCCAGGCACTGGGACATCACTTCAAGGGCATCATTGGGGTGGCCTGGGGTGGAGATGTACAGCTGGGTGTCATCAGCGTACTGGTGGAACTCCACCCCAAAGCCACGGATGATCTCACCCAGCGGCTTTACATAAATGTTGAACAGAAGGGGTGAGAGGACTGACCCTTGTGGCACCCCACAAGCAAGGTACCTCGGGGTCGACCGCTGCCCCCCGTCAACACAGATTGCGACCGGTCAGAGAGGTAGGAGGAGAACCACCGCAGAACGGTGCCCCCCACCCCCCACCCCGCCAACCGGTGCAACATGATACCATGGTCGATGGTATCAAAAGCCGCTGAGAGGTCTAACAGGACCAGGATAGAGGAGCAACCCCTATCCTGAGCCCTCCAGAGATCATCCACCAACGCGACCAATGCCGTTTCCGTGCTGTGCCCAGGCCGGAAGCCGGACTGGAGCGGGTCTAGATAGACAGTTTCATCCAGGTACCGGGGAAGCTGTTGCACTACCACACTCTCAACAACCTTCACAACGAAGTGAAGGTTGGAGACTGGACGATAGTTAGCCAAAACAGCCGGATCCAGAGAGGGCTTCTTGAGGAGGGGCCTCACAACCGCTTCTTTCAAAGCGGCCGGCAGGACCCCCTCACTCAAAGAAGCGTTAACAATCTTCTGGAGCCAGCCTTGTGTCACTTCCCGGGAAGCCAGTACCAACCAGGAGGGACACGGGTCCAATAAACATGTGGTAGTGTTCAGCCGTCCCAGGACCCTGTCCATGTCCTCAGGAGCCACAGGATCGAACTCCCCCCAGATAACACTCTCAAGACCTGCCTCAGTCATCCCGTCCGGACATACCCAGTCAGAGGCCAGCCCTTCCCGAATCTGAGCGATTTTGTCATACAGATACTGCACAAAGTCCTCAGCTCGGCCCTGCAAGGGGTCATCCCGTGCTTCCAGATGGAGGAGGGAGCGGGTCACCCTAAACAGGGCGGCCGGGCGATTATCTGATGATGCGATAAGAGTGGCAAAATAGCTAGATTTCGCCGCTTTTATCGCCACTAGGTAGGTCTTAATATGAGACCTCACCAGTGTTCGGTCAGACTCGGAGCAGCTGGTCCTCCAACTACTCTCCAGGCGTCTTTTCCGGCGCTTCATCTCCCTAAGCTCCTCGGAGAACCAAGGAGCTAGGTGAGTTCGGTGCCGGGTCAGAGGCCGCAAAGGCACGACACGGTCCAAGGCCCCGGCAGCCGCACTATCCCAGGCGGCCACCAGGTCCTCAGCCGAGTCATGAGCCAGAGTCTCAGGAAATGGCCCAAGCTCCATCTGGAACCTATCAGGGTCCATCAGGCACCTGGGGCGGAACCATCTGGTTGGTCCCACCTCCCTGCGGCGGGGTGCAGCGGTTAGAAAGTCCAGTCGAAGGAGCGAGTGGTCAGACCATGACAAGGGTTCGATGACTATATCCCCTGTATCAAGGCCACTCAACCACTGACCAGAGACAAAAACTAAGTCCAGAGTGTGTCCACCCGTGTGAGTGGGGTCATGAATTAACTGAGTAAGGTCCATGGCCGTCATGGAAGCCATGAACTCCCGAGCCACCTCAGACGTTTCGCCGACAGATGGCAGGTTGAAATCCCCCATGACTAGAAGTCTGGGGGTACCAACCGCCACCTCAGCTATGACGTTGAGCAGCTCAAGCAGGGCCGTTGCCACGTGGCAGGGAGCCAGGTACGTGATCAACAAGCCCATCTGTACTCCACGACCCCACCTCACAAAAAGGGACTCACATCCGGCTATCTGTGGAACAGAGGTCTCCCTCGGATCAAGACTTTCCTTTATAATAACCGCCACCCCCCCACCCCTGCCCTGAGCTCTCGGCTGATGGAATGCTCAGAAACCTGGTGGGCACATATCCACGAGGGGAACCCCCCCTCATGGCCCAACCAGGTC